AGTTCAACTCACTTCATGGAACAGTTAATATACTGAAGGTCCTTCAGCTCATGCTGGCAGCTGGGCCAAGGTCAAGGAAGCAGACATAGGAGTTTGCCCTCGGGCAGGACAAGCAGAGCAGGGCAGCAACAGCAGGAAGATGAGAAGTGGAGGCGGAGCAGAGGCCAGTGGCACTGGAGCTTGGTGAAGGGTCCCAGTGGATCCTCAAGAAGCCTGGCGAAGCAAGTTTTGATGGAACCTCCAGCTCTCACCACGCACACATAGCAAGGTGACACGATCCACGGCTTGGCTCGGCCCACAGTAGCCCAGCACAGGGAGGACTAGCTCAGGCTGCACACAGGGCTGGTCCAATCGCCAGGGAGAAAAGGGGAAGGAGGCCGCCTTGGAAAGCCATTTATCTCATCGACTTCCAATCCAGCTGTGACCTGATAAAACTCTGCCCACGTGGAAGCCTATGGAAGCCTAGTTGGAACAATGAACCTAACTCTCACTTGGCTGATCTCAGAAGTTTTTGCTGCTGCTTTTGTGCAGAGAAATGCTAATTAAAGAACACCTGGATGTGACTCCCTGCCTATCTTGTAGGGTTAACTTTTCCTACCAATTCCCTGCCCCCGCTGGGTGAAAAAGCCTCATGATAAAGCCTTTTAACATCCTTACCCTTAAGGTATTTTGTGGGATATTTCTGATGCTATGGAACAAGAAAGGGAGAGTCTATTTTCCCTTCATTCCGAAGGCCAAGCCTCTTAAGACATTCGGTCACCCAGATTCTGTGCTGTAACTGACAGCAGAGTCTCAGGACTACACACCAGGGCTCCTATGGAACAGCTATGAGGAAAGGCCTGGGGCCCGTGCATAGTGAATGGCAAATTCCTGGAAAGTTTGTTCTGGCCTGAGTCATCAATTGAGCTCTGTGACAGCTTCCCAAGAGCTGGTAGTGAAGTGGTGGCTTTTATGACATAAGAACAAGATCATTCAGAGCAGCGGTTCTCAACCTGTGGGTCACAACCCCTTTGGGGGTTGAATGACCCTTTCATAGGGGTCGGCAGATTCATAACAGTAGCCAAATTACAGGTACAATGTAGCAATGAAAATAATTGGATGGTTGGGGGTCACCACAACATGAGGAACTGTGTTAAGGGGTCGTGGCATCGGGAAGGTTGAGAACCCCTGCTTTGGAGTGCTAGCTGCTACGTAACTCCTGTCACCATGTGGACCTCCAGTGGAAAGATTCTTCCCATCAGTGGAGCTGGGAAACCAGAAGCTGCAGCACTAAGTCATAACGGCTTTAGAACTTCCCGGGCTGTCAGCTGCTACCTTGCCCGAGGCAAATCATATTAAAGTTCAAGATATTTTTCATTGTTCACATCTCCTGCCTTCTTCTCCAGGAAATCAGAAGCATTCATTTTGTTGAGAAGGTTTGCCTCAGAATAAAGTGATCTGATTTATCTCTTTAAGAACAATTCTTAAGGCTTCTATGAAAGAACTGTAATATTTCAACAACATCTTTAAACAACAAATTCAATTCCTCCCCGTAGAACATTCAGTGTGTCCTATAGATTTCAAGGCAGGTAGCTGATTTACTCCAAATCTTTAAAAAAGCTGACTTCACTTTATTTTGAAACTAGAGTATTCCTTAGGAGGAAATGAGCTTTGTGAATATCAAATATCAAGTTCTCCTGATCATACACATTTTAGATCCCTTCACCATTACTGAAACTGTGACATTCTGAAGTTGTCAAATTGAGCTGAGAAGTGGGGATTGGTCTTCAGAAGTGCTTTTGGCAGCAGGTAACAGGAAAACCAACTCCAATGGGTTGACAAATAGTGGCCACAAATAGTGGCTTGTTTTTCTTGCATCACAGGTGCACCAAATATCTGGTGGCTGTGCATTTCTCTCGTGGTCCCGAGACGGCCATCAAGTTTATCTTAGAGTAAGGTGACCAGACGTCCACTTTTGGCAGGACAGTTCCAATTTTTAACAATTTGT